CTCAGGCTTGTGCAGTGCTGCCACCGGTTCAGCTCATTCCCCTCCCCCGCTACCACTTTTCTAGGATGGTCGTGTACCACCTGCCAGGTGCCAATGTACCACAGGTGGTACCCTGGTTGAAAAGCCCTGGTCTAGGCTGTCATACAGTATATGGATGATAGCTGTCATGTGTATATTGGATCTCTCATATTTAATCTAGCACCAGACAGTTTTAGGGTTAAAAAAAGATCACCCGTCATATCATATTTTGTAGGAGTGTACAGATAGTTCTCAACTTACGACCACAATTGAGCCCAACATTTCTGTTAAGTGAGTTTTGCCCCATTTTACGACTTTTCTTGCCTCACTTGTTAAGTGAATGACTGCAGTTGATAAGTTAGTAACTCAGTTGTTAAGTGAATCTGGGTTCCCCTTGACTTTCCTTGTCAGAAGGTCACTAAAAGTGATCACGTGATCTTGGGACACAGTAACAGTCATAAATATGAACCAGCTGCCAAGCATCTGAATTTAGATCACATGATCATGGGGATGCTGCAAAGGTTGTAACTGTGAAAAATGGTCATAAGTCACTTTTTTTTAGTGCTGTCATACCTTTGAATGGTCACTAGATGAACTGTTGTAAGTTGAGGAGTACCTGTATAATGAGCTAAATGCTAAATCTAAAATTTAATTCTGCCATTTCCGTTTTCTCCAAACATGGATCTCCACAAGACTCCATTCTCAGTATTTCATGTTATCATGAAGAAATCTGTTAACTAAGTTCTATTCTTCCTTCCATAAAAGATGACAACTACGTACCTTTGAGGCATGAGTTCTGGAATCCAAGTAATGTAGCCTGGCATATTCCCGGATATATACTGGAGCCTTACAGTGAAAATGGGGGGAAAAAAAGAGACAGGCAAAGATGAATCAAAACGTTCTTGATATTCAAAGAGACACATAGGAACTGACTAGAGATTTCCAAGGATGCTGCTGATTATCTTGCTCCTTGCAAGAGATATCAGAGATGGCTCCAATTAGTTCTTCACAAAGAGCAGATCAGTTTTGGTCTGACATAATTCCAATGTGATCAAGAAAGGGATTCTGTGGCCTGTAAGTCACACACAACGCATGAGCCTTTGGATCTCATCTGCAACCTTCTCTCCTTCACTTTGTTTCCCCTAGTATAGCAACTGGGCTTAGAAAAAAGTGACTTTTCTTCCTACTTGCAAATCAGAACTTAATTTTTCATAACCAGAAATGTTATGTGAGGTTACCAATTTTAAGGAAGGGTTGGCAGTTATAATTAATATGTTCTTCATCCTTCACACTGCCATATCTGCCTGCTGCCATTAGCTTTAGAAGTAAATGGAGTTTTTTTCCCCCTCAAAATAAAACTTCTACAAAGTGAAGGGGAAAATGAGAAATGAAGGTGATTTTAATGACTGTATGTGGACAATTGCACACAAAAAGTGACAATTTCCATTTTCCACTCATAAAGTAATACTTTCTACCCATAAAGTAGGGATGCTAACATCCAATTCCTTTGCAGCAAATATAACTTACAGATAAATCTGGAAAATGTTGCCCATCCTTACTTCATGGATAGAAAACTATTTTTTTAATTAAATTTATATTGAAAACTTTACAAAGAACATTAAAACTAACACAAACTATATGAGGATCAGAACTTCTGTTGCTAGCGATCTAATCATTAGCCGAGTTGTTCCTGATTTTACGATTTTTTTTGCCATAGTCATTAAGTGAAACATGCACTTGTTAACTGAATTGGACTTTCCCATTGATTTTGCTTGTTGGAAGTCCCCTAAGAAGATCATAAATAGCAATTATGTGGCCCCAGACTGCCACAGCCATTGTAAATATATGCTAATTGCCAAGCAGATGAATTGTGGGCACGCTGCAACAGTTATTAAGTGCAAGGATTGGTTGTAAGTCACTTTCAACACTGTTGTAACTTCAAATGGTCTTAAATGGTTGTAAGTCAAGAACTATATGTAATAAAGTGTAAACATAGAAAGAAAGAAAGAAAGAAAGAAAGAAAGAAAGAAAGAAAGAAAGAAAGAAAGAAGGAAGGAAGGAAGGAAGGAAGGAAGGAAGGAAGGAAGGAAGGAAGGAAGGAAAGATGGCAAAAAGTGCAGGAAAAAAGAACAGAAAGAAATAGAAAAAAGTTTCTAATCCTTTTTGTAGCAATCCTTTTTACAGCAAACTTTATTCTATTCAGTTTCTTTTAATCATCAAAACCTCAAATCATAAGTGTATTTTTCATTTTATGAAAAAAATATATAAGGGTTTCCAGTCAGCCATAAATGTCCATGCCAAAGCCCAGAATCCATTTTTTCTAATCAAAAGCTTAATTTAACTATCACTTCAAGTTCCATTGTCTTCACTTGCTATTCCTCTCTGGTGGCTAATGTCAAGCCTTTCCACTTTTAAACATATAATATTAAAAGGCCCATTTCTCAAAGAGTTCAGATCTGTGGTGTACTACCATATGTATTGTATACAGTCAGATGCTGTTTAATAAATAAGTTTCCTAGGAAACTTTAGCCTAACTAAAGACATCATATATCATCCCCCCCAAAACAGAAAAGTCTTTAAAGGCCTAATAATCAAATCAATAACTGATAAGAAAGAGGCATAACAGGACTGCTTAGTAAATAGAGTTTAGGTCCACCTTAACAACAATGAATATCACCTACTCTATATCCTGCATTCACGTGTAGAAAATATTTTTTTAAACTTCCACATGTGAAAGATAATTTTGTAAAAATATGTAAATGCCAGAGAGCTCAGCAACAGAAACAAATAACACCTCCAAAGCAGCACCTCCAAAAAAGCAGAGTATCTCAATTTGTTCATAGCAACACTTTCGCCCAATGAATAATGCCCTTGGACAATTAGGCAACAGGGTTGGAGATTAGTTCCTCCCTCTATGTGATCTTACTTTGAAGAGTTTTTGTGAGTGCTTGATCATGAAAGCCATTCCATTATTCAGTTTGTTAATGTTTTCCTGCAGATCGCTGGCAGTCACCTAACAACAGATGAAGAATGAAAACAGGTTAAGTGAGTTGCAAAATCATAGACAGAGGCAAGCTTATTTTAATAGCGAATTCCAGCAGTCAAACTATTGGGCAAATCCATCCTTCCTAGCCTGCCCATCTCCCCCACGCTCCCCTTTTCACTTTTATATGAAACAGAATACTTACATTTCGGGGCCACAAAATATGAGGTGAAAACATAAGAGCAAGGTTATGTGCTGACATCTTGTTCCTATCCTGTTTCTTGGCTGTTTGATAGAGCAGATCCAATAGCAATTTGAGCAGATTGCGATTGGCAGCTGGTAAGATCAAGAAGAGCAATTGCAGTGCTTCAATTTGACGCTCTTTATTTGGAATGCTGGTCTTGTTGCCCTTGTCATCAAACTGCACCAGGTCTATAATCCAGGAATCAGGAAAATATCTGTTAAGCATCGCTGGCTATAAGAAATCTCAGCCTCAGGAATTCTATCCAGTTCTTAAAACTATTTATTTTCAATTCTGATTACTCTTTTAAAAATCCCCAAAACTTCATATTTAAATATCCTTGCCATTGGTTTGAACTGGGAAATATCAGGGTCTCCAAACTTTTTAAAGCACCAGATCAGCATATGGTGTTGTTACAGTAACCAGAAAACCACAATGATATTGCAGAGTAGTACTTTGGCTCACCAAATACCAGCCTTGTTATAGGATATGCTTGCACGTTTCCCAAGGTGTGCCACAGGAGGCTTCGCACCAGAGAGAAAGACAAGCGGTTCTTCCTGCTGTGTTACTGAAGGCCCTTTCCCTTCCTGGAGCTGCCCCGCAGATGTGTGCTGCAACCAGAAAGGTTCCCAGCCATCAGGAATCTGCCTGCCTGCACAGAGCACCAGCTCGTCTCCCCACCAAAGTAATATCTATCTATCTACTTGCATAGAACATGCTTTCAAACTGTTAGATGGACAGAAGCTGAGGCAAGTGACAGGAGCTCACCCTGCCACGCAGTGCTTGGGCTCGAACCACTGGAGCTGAGACCATTTCCAGCGTCATCAAACCACCGAGCCACTGCACTTCCAACCACCAGATGAATTAGAAAAAATAGATATTTTGAAAGGAAAGAATACATATCTGATAAAATTGTCTAGTTAATGTTGATTACCTGAAATTTTAAGGTGTGCATGGAAATGTTTGTGAGTCAGCAAAGGCTCTGGTAATTCTCCCAGGAACATCTTCAACAAAGTGGCCACATCATTGGAATGAAACTCGCCGGAATCCAGGTCAATTTCTGTTCCGCTATTCAAAGCTTCTTTCAGGTTCTGTTGCCTGGTACTGTTTCCTGGCACTCGGAACAAGCCTTCTGTCCGCAAATCTGCACCATGATGGGAGGGGTATTAAACATATGCCAAATACAGTGACTGCTACCATTCTTAATTTTGAATCTAGATGTTGATCTAGATCTAGAGACTGTCTGATTTTTTTGCAGTCCAAGATATGATGGCCCTATTTACGTACATCTTTCTTCTTCTTTTTAAATCTCTTCAGAGCCCTAATAGAAGAGTCAATTGCACAAAAGCAAATAGAAGTAATCTGGTTGTCTTTTGGGGGTTCAAGATTACCAAGCACAATAGAAACTACGGAATGAAATGAAAGGATTTTTTAAAAGTCTAATTTAATGACTAATGCACTCTTTCTTGAGTGCAAACATTTGGGTGGAATTCACTTGAATCCTATTATTCCAATGGCACTCGAAAGAAGCAGTCCTGAAAATTATGATAAGCTATGAAATATTTACTCCCTCCAACTTGTTATTAGCTAATGCAGAATTATAGTTTTATTCATTTACCTTTAATATACTTTTGCCATATCTCATTTATAAACATTTTTGTGGCTGAGCCCATATGTTCTCATGTTATATCACAGAATGATCATTTAAATTTATTTTCAGATTGTGTTCTTTTTTAGTTATGACTATTAGTTTATCAGAACAAAAGAAACATAAAATAGAAACGATTTTCAGAAGATGAAAATGTTCAGATCTAGAAGCATATGTAGAAAGCTTTTATAGATCAAATTTGTGCCTCAGATTATTCCACAATTGCTAACTTAAGAAAGATAGAAAGACCTCCAAAATTACTTACTTTTGTGCAAATACTCAATGAGTTGAGATATTTGAGCAATGCCTTCTTCAGTCAATGGTGTTCCAAATACCACTCCTTTCTCTATAAATTCAAAAAAGCAACAAATATATAATCAAAGAGAATATTAACTGTTTTATTGAAACTCAGATTGGTTTCTTCACTATTCCAAAACGTCAGAAGTAAAACTTGGGCCAGAATATATGTTCATTCAGTATCCACTTTCAAAAAATAAATAAAACCTTACTCTTATTATTAGTGCAAAAGGCATCAGGTTGGAAAGAGATACTGTTTGTTTTCTATAAAGGAAGTTGTGTCACAAAATAGATACTTTTTATCTATATTTATGCCTGGGACTTGTTCACACTGTAGTATTCATATTGTGTACTTTATTAAGGAATATCACCAAGATATTTTTTCTATCTAATCTAACATTCAACTTCTAATATTTGGTATTTCTGGGTACTGATATATAGAACATTAGTTCGGGATTCATAGAAATATTGCATCTGTATATAGGAGATGCTTTCCAGTATTAGATCATCTTTCAATATTTAAATAATTGAAATTGCGCTGTATTTGGAAAATGCTATCTTGCTTACTTTTGGCCAGGTCTTGATTCTTAGTCATCTGCTAAAGGCATCATAGCTAGGAATAATACTTTGGTTACCCAGATGTGAATTTTAATCTGTATCATTTTCACACACACCCCCACCACTCCAATACTTCCTCTAGATTATTTGAAATGGTCCACAAGGTTTATTACCCCAAAAGCTTCTGCATGTTCAGTGACATGAAAATATCTTTGTATTGCCATCTTCCAATCAACAGTAACTTCTGATGATTTCATAGACATATGCAATTTCCTTGGCATCACTATGGAACGGTTCCCACTCCACTTTTTCCGGATGTTTTTCCACTTCCTAGCTGGCTTTCATCTTCTTCTGATCCTCTGAGTACTGACTCAGTCTTAACTACTTAGCTTGGATTCTAGACAAGGTTGGGCAGGTGCTGCCACCTGCTGAAACTACATACAGTATACATATACCCCACTTGAGTTCAACTCCTGATAAAAATGTTTTTTGAGATAAACATAGCAGTAACAAGCTCTTTAATCAGAAAACTTCCTCTTTCAATCACATCTGGAACATTAGAAGGGAAGGAACAAATCTTATTTCTCAGGGAAATCTATTCTACAAGACCAAAACGACAACAAACAAACTGCAGTTCCAGGCCTCCATTCCCCCTTTCTTCTAATTTTTACTTTGGAAGTTTATTAATAAAGTTGTGGGTTTTACTGTAACAGAAGAGCCAGTTTTAGGGGCTCATTTAAATAAGGTCAGAGTATGAATGTATGAATCTCTGGGGAGATATTATTTTATCAATTTCTTTGAGCGCGGTGGCCCACAAGGTTAGGCCACTGGGCTGATGATCGACTCGTGTTCAAGACCCAGTTGCTGCCATGGGATGGGGTGAGCTCCGATTACACATTCCAGCTCTTGCCAACCCAGCAGTTCGAAGGTGAGAAACTGCAAGTAGATAAATGGGTATCACTTTGGTGGGCAATTTAACCAGGATGTGGAAGGAGCCCCCAACTGGCGTCCCCCGGACAACGGTGAAGTCACCATTCAATCCTTTAACCTGGAAGCAATTTGGCGCTCCTGACTCGACTGTAGTAATAATATCAATTTCTTTGGAGACTCTGTCAGTTATAAGGGTCCAAGATATCACTTTATCATTGAAAGCCAACAGAAAGCACTAGCAAACACATCATGCTTACCTTTGCGTTTAAGAGACATCAAGGAACGGAAAAAACCTGAGGAAATGCTAGGCCCACCAGGCAACTGGGGCTCTTCCTCACCCATCAGTTGAGCAAGTTCTGCTCCAGGCAAGTCAATCAATCGGGTAATGTTGCTGACCACAAGTTCTGTGAATGCCTCAGGTTTCTCATGTCTCAGCTTCTCCACAAAGAAGTCTGGATTAAAGATGATCTGATGCCGCTGAAGGGAAGACTCATTGCAGATAACAAAACTGCAAATGGCATCACTGTGGAAGACAGTCATGCATTACTTCATGAGAGACATGCATATACAATATAGCAATAATCTTTAGCCATGCCGGTAGTTAAGGTAAAATGGGTTTAAATTGTAGAGATAATGTTTTTACATAATCTTTTAAGGATTCCATTCCACCCATTTCTGCAATATCGCAACATATCAGAATACTGATCATGCTGGCTGCATAAGAGAGAAACTACAGTACAGTAATTTGCATGTTATACTACCCCGAAGAAATACACATTCTCCTGTCAAGCGAAACAACAAACTGTATAATTGACCGACTTTGGGCAGTGATAGTTTATACAAATTAATTGATATAGAGCAGCAGTCCCCAACCTTTGTGGCTTGGTGGCCCGGCTTGGGGGGGGGGGAGAGAGGAACTGGGCCGCATGAGCAGCAGGCCAGCGCGCACATCCACACATGCAGCTCGACTTGCGTGACCAGCATGCCGGCATGCATGTGAATGCAGCTCGACTTGTGCAGCGTGCTAGCCTGCCACTCATGCAATTCAAGCTGCACTTGTGTGTGTGCCGGCCTGCCGCTCACGTGGCCCGGTTGCAAATCGGCTACGGCTCAGTAGTTGGCCACAGCCCAGAGGTTGGGGAGCCCTGATATAGAGAACATTAAGTTTAAGATTTAATTCATTCAGTTGGCTTTTAGCAATCTTTTATAATATAGGCATAGAAACATTTTTTAACAAGAATAATGTTCTAAAACAGTAAGAACATTTGGAAATTATTCAGAACAGAGTTAGCATGAAAGTTACATCAAAGATGTAAGTATATCATTCTGTAGATATCAAATATTTTCTGCTCTTACTGGGTGGAACATTAGGGAAGCGTGCAGTAGAAATATAATACAGTTCTTTTCTTAGAGGAAAATTATGTGTCATTTGTTAAGTTATATGCTATATAAAAAATAAAGAGTTTCTGAAATACACAATGCACAAAGAAAAAACTGTCGATTGAATTTATCCTTTTTTTGAGAATTCCAGTAGTCCAACATAGTGGAATATTTTTATCAAAATTATTTAGAACTACCCTAGATAGACTATATTTGCTGCTGTGGAAAATGGCAATAGATATCTTTTTGCAGTCCCAGCCTGGGGTTGAAGTGGCTAATAAATCTGAGCAGAGAAGTTGGCGAAATCACTCCAAAAGCAGTAAGCCACAGAAAAGAACAGTTCTCTTCATCCCTGAGCGAGTAAGCTGCCAAGAATAATCTAATTCCAGCACTGCTTTATAAGAAATCCTGCCATTTGATATGTTTAACAAGCTGAAAACAAGATGGAGCCCTTCAGTTCAAGCAGCTGGGGATTAATATTGATTGACCTCATACTTGTCTCCATTACACTTTTAACATATGCAAGTCAGGCAGGACAACTTAAATATGACTTATAAGCTAATCATGGACCTAACATCTCCTTCTAAGGAAGACCAATGTGATGACTTGCCCCAACAAAACTGCTAAGTCTGCATAACATCTGTGTCACATATTCAAACTCTCATCCCTATGTTCTAGAATTTAAAGAATCCCTAATCAGTTTTCAAGGCATAGTTAATAGTACATACCTGCCTATTTCAATTCTTAATTTCCAGGAACCCTTAAAGCAACCATTTCTGAAATAATAAGAAAGACAAATCTCTTACACAAGTGCTGAAAGTTTCTGGCGCGGCATTGGGAAGCAGAGATGTAATGAGAAGAACTCATTCCTTGTTTTCAGAAATAGAACTGCCTGCTCCAACACAGCCTATGCAAATTCCACACACAATAAACAAGACAAAGACTCACTTGTTGGCCCTCTTCTCACAAATAATCAACTTTCATTAATGTCAGAGCAGAACTCAGATCAACCTACTTGGTGCTTTACATTAAGAAGTAGTAGAGAGTAGACCCCATCCTTGAAGAGCTTATCATTTCAATTGTCCAATTTATTCAGTTAAGTATTAAGCTCCCAAAATTTAAGACAAGATTTATTAATACTTAACCCAAGATTTATATGTATTCCACTGGTTTTATCTTCTCTTTTAAAATTTTCTTTCATGACTTCCTCATTTGATATCTAGTTTATGAAGCCAAATCTTATAAGAGGTTTTCCTTTAAAAATATTCCCTTCTGATTTCTAATTTTTCTTGATGCATAAAATTGAGCTGTAAATTTTCACCTCTTTCCTTTACATCTAATATGTCTTCATCCTAATTAATCTTCAGAGTAAGTTTTGTTGTTTGACAACGTCAATCATATATAATATGCTGGATTGTGGAGTATTGCTGTCTGCTTTTATAATCACGTTCCCATTCCTGTTTTATGGTGAACAGTCTCACAGTATGAGCAGCCCCTAACTCTTTACTGAATTCTGTTCTAAACATTACTAGGCTTTGTAATTTTGAAAGGTCACTTTATCAGCAACACTCCCTCGCACAAAAATATGCTTGGTTATTAATGACACTAATGAAAGTCAGAACTCTTTTCAAACAATTCAGTCACACACTATCCAAAGGTAAGGAAGAATGTGAGCTGCCCATTCCCATTTGCATACTAAAAAGAAAGAAATGGGAAGCCGGAGAAAGATAGACAACTGTATATCTGCTTTCATGGACATATTTGACTAAAGAATTAGTAAGCTAAAGATTTGCTCAAGTTATCAAGAAGAGGATGGCCCCATGGATATGAGATCCTATCAAATAGAAAAAAGAAACCAAGTTCAAGGACAAATGAACAAAAGCCAGATTGGCTTGGCTTCATAACTAGATGTCTAATAATTTATGGGGCAAGCTATAACCAATTATTTTCCTTAACACAGGATAATGCTGAGGAGCAGGCAAACTTTATTCTGGTTTTATGGAGCATTTTCCATTGGTGTTTCCCAGTGCTGTGGAGTCAGAGTCGGAGTCGAGGAGTCGGAGGAAATTTTGGGTACCTGGAGTCGGAGTCAGAGTCGGAAGTACAAAAAACTGAGGAGTCGGAGTCAGAGTCGGAACATTTATCTACCGACTCCACAGCCCTGGCTGTGGAGTTGGAGTCGAGGAGTCGGAGTAAATTTTGGGTACCTGGAGTTGGAGTCGGAAGTACAAAAAAACTGAGGAGTCGGAGTCGGAACATTTATCTACCGACTCCACAGCCCTGGTGTTTTCAAAGGGAGGCTAAGTATCAGATGACATCAGCCCGTTCCCATTACCTTACAATTTATAATTTTATACAAGCTAAATATAATTTTACTTTGTAGAACTGTTTAAAATGTATTTAGCACACTTTTGAAAGAATGCAAAATGTGTTTTAAAAAGTAGCCCACAAAGACTTGTAATGTACTCTATAGCAGGAGTCCCCAACTTCCAGTCTCTGGACCAGTACCGGGCCGTGGCATGCCAGCAACCAGTCCGCACAAACAAGCAAAGCCCCATCCGCAGGATGAAGGCAGCACACAAAACCACGCACCCTCCAGTCCGTGGAAAAACCTCTCTCCACGGAACCAGTCCCTGGTGCCCAAAAGGTTGGGGACCTCTGCTCTATAGGGCTGGTTTAACTGCCTGGTCCCAGAGCCTGGGAGAGTATCCAGGTCTTTAATGCCTTACTAAGGGTTAGGGCCATCCTGATCTCTGGCAGGATGCTGTTCCATATGGAAAACTGGGAGAGAGAAGGCACAATTCCCAGGTCCCAGAAGATGACATTTCCTAATAGAAGAGACCTGGACTATGCCAACCCTGCCAGTTCTGATAAGCTGAGCAGAAATGATAGGTGACAGATGATCCTGCAAGTATCGTGACCCAATGCCATGTAAGGCTTTATAGATGATAGCCAGTACCACCTTGAAATGCACCAAGAATGTCACTGGGAGCCAGTGCAGCCCCCCAAATAGACATGTCATATGTATTTATCACAAAGTGTTCAAAAATGTCTATACTGCTGTATTCTGGATCAGCTGCAGCTTCCAAATACTCTTTAAGGGCAATCCTAAAGTACAGTAATCCATCTGGAAAGCAACTGAAGCATGAATTATCATAAGTGTAGTCTTACAGCTTGTACTTGTATTTATTCTTTGCAAGGAGAGAGAAAATACCACTTTTGCGCTGGAATAGCTGAAGATGAATATAAGCTGCCTCCACAATAAAGCGATGGTGTCACAGGGGGAAATGAGCACTACAGTTCTGATGCTTCTGGATTGAAAGGATTATCCAGCTATAAACTGTTGCCCAGGGACACCCAAATGTGTTAACAGCACTCATTCTCTACATAAGATCTACCACCTAGCTGGCATTGCGCTGCCTGCTCTTCTGCCTGCTGTTCGCAGAGAAGAAGCAGCATACAGAGAAAGACTCAAATCATCAATATCTAGATTCTCTATGGCCTACAACCAACCCAGCAGAGACTAAAATCCAGGAAAAGCTTCCTTAGGTCGATGGAAGACTTTGAAAAATTTGAAAGCAGAATGATCTACAGAAAGCTACAAAGAACCAACACTGGATGGAATCAACAGATAAGCTGGCACCTGGATCTGATGAAAGCTGGGAAGTATGGAAATTGTTGAATAGACTGCACACGGGTACAAGATCTGGAGACATTCTGAATAAATGCAGCTATTTGGTGGCTTCTGTTTTCTTTATTGTGGTGACATGCAGACAACACATCCTTGCCCTTTGTGTCCCGATCAGTGTACAGTTGAGGACCTCATGGCAGCGTGAAAGAATGCAATTAATGTTGCCAGTTTCTCGACAAGATCTGTTTAATTTGTACATATTTTAATCTTGTATTTTATATTTTATGTCGTATAGTATCCTTATTTTAATTGTGATGCTTCTGACATGAATAAACAAACAACAAACTATAAGGTGATAATAAAATCAAGATAGTCACAAGAATATGTCTTTTAAAAAATGGCTGCAACACTAGGGCGTTTTTGTGCCATAATGAAATACAAAAATGAGTCTTATAACTAAATATAGACCAACCCATACCTTTATTTTTGCTTTATTATTTTAATTGAGAGGTTTTCAAGCTACTCAGATAAAACTATCATCTAAATACTGTATGTTTCTTGTAACAGCACTATTTTGACATTTTAGTCCAATTATCATCATTATACCTACATTTTGTATTTAGTCTGCTAGAACTATAATTCTATCTGATCTTGAACCCCCTCAGAATCTTTCTCTCCAAATCCCCAATCTAGTGGTCACCCAAGATTATTTCAAACTCATGGTCCCTAGCTATTTTCCTCTTTGGGTACCAAAATAGTTTTCTCCACTTATGTCCTATTAATATATGATTATTATACTCAAGCACCATATTGGCTGAGATTAAAGCTTATGTATCATATTTCGTGGGCAACTGGCTAGGAAGGGTGATCAAGACAATGGAAGGAAATACTTCCATCTTCTTCCCTGCCCTCTTTGATGCAGCAAATTTGTGTATTAAAAAATGATGGATCTACTCTCAGGGAAGCAGCATAGTTATAAAACAGCTATATATGTTAGTATTATAATTCAACTGCCACACAGGAAGTTGTTTTATAAGGAATTGCATTGGTAAATCATCTAATCCCATTTTCTTGAGAAAAACTAGCTAACATTACACATCTTATCAATCCATGGTTAACCAAATGACAATTTACCCATTTATCTCTGTGTGCTGAATTTCCATAACACAAGTAAACTAACACATCATCTTGGTTCAAACAGTATAATAGGGTAGCATGTGCTGTAGTGGAGTGTGCAACCACAGCTAATCTAGTTTATGGAGAGGGGGGAATAAAATCATATAGTATTCTAATGAAATAGGAGTGTAATTATTTAACATACTGGGTGGGCTCATGACACACACTGAGCCATAAGCTAGTCATATGCATTTTAGCCTATAGTACTACCGGTACAACCAGACATTGACTAGCAGTAGTTCTCTGTTTAAAATTTATTCTTATCTGAAGACCCCAGGGATCACACCTAGCGCTTCTTACACACAACCTATCTAGTTTATTTCTGAAATATAGTGACGTGTGGAAGGGACTAAGTAGAAAATATACTGCTGCTTTAATTCACCACTAAAACAACCACGGAGGCCATGTCTATTCGTCCACTCGAAACTCGACTCACATCATTTCTACCGTACTCCTACATCAAACGCTACCAAACCGCTTTCTTTATGCATTTCATTGCCCCCAGCCCTTTCCAGGAGGCCGCGTTATCTCCGATGGGCGCGCTTTGTCGTACCTATACGTTTGCCCAGCTGCACCTTTTCTCCCAGTCGGTTCCGTCGCCATTTCATATCTGCCGCTTTGCTTTCCCATAGGCCATTCAATCGCAAAAGTCAATTGGCTGTTACCAGAGCAGCTTGTTTCCCCCACCCTTTCTTCATGCAGCCATTGGTTTGTTCGAACGTGGCAACAGCTTAATGATTTCTCGCGGACCAATAGGAAAACTGATAAGAAAGGAGAAGCAAGGAACTGTATTGCGCTAAGTTACTTGGGATTTGTAGTTTTGAGGCGACGTTTATAATCCCTATGGTCAGAATCGATAGAGGTGGCTGTTGCATTTTTAATAAGAGGTGGACATCTGCGATGAAAGGACTCACGTGCAAGTTTTATATGCTGAATTTAGATCACTAGAAATATTTGGGACATAGGAGCACGTTATCCCCAAAGTTAGATTATAGGACTTGGATTGCCCACAAACCATTACAAAAGTTATGGAGCAATGTCCAGTTGAAATTAAGGATTGCTCCATCCCTTTTAACATTTCAGAAGTTATTTAAGACTAAATAAATTAATTGATTTTGGGGGGCTTTTGTTATTTTACTTACATAATTTTGTCTATTTGTTAGTATATATTTTACTGTATGAAATTATTGATTTCTTAACTTTTACCATAAACCATGAATTTTACCATTCACCTGCAATGAGTCTTTATAGATTTGGCAATGCAAACAGAATGAATAAATAATTCATGCAAAGAAATTGACAATTTTATATAGAATGGAAATGAAGTAACAACAACATAAATCAACTGGCTGGCTGGTTAATTCAGTGCTTTAAATTTAAAATAGCACAGATTGTATTTCAATCTGCAGAACATACTACATAAAGAATGAAAGACCTGCAGATCCAGCTGAAAGTTTAAAACAATGTAAACAATGTGGCAGAAAAATTATGCAGATTAGATTTTAATATACCATATTGAACTTTATTTTGACAAAGAGTACAATGCAAAAATTATGACATTCTAGGTAAATGAACTGAAAATTAGGAGTATGGCTTCTGTTTTAATAAACACACGAGTTTTATAGTATAGTGTTTGAATAATTAGAAATGTAACCTTTTTAGAAATGTTAAAGGGACAAGAAAAATTGAAAGGTGAAAATGAAAATGTAGAAAAATTAAATATGTGCAGTTTAACACTTCTCTATCAAATGCATAGTTAATTTATAAAATGTATTATTTATTATTTGGTTGCTGTATTAAAGTATAGTTAGTATATAAAATTGAAAAGTATATTTTGTTCAAGCAATTATAAACTAATAATGTATTTAATAAAATGTTTTAATTTTTTAAATGGAATTACAAACTGTTGAACCCCAAAGATGTAACTTACCTGCTTTGGAGGTATGTGGGCAAAAACCAAAAAGAAATCAACTCTGTAGTAAAACAAAGAAAACTATATATTCTAGATTTTTCCACCAATATCTCAAACATACCTACAGAAAGCAGTACTTTTCAGAATAAATCTGAACATGTTTGGCATTGATTTGCCCAGCTTGTCATTATTTGGAATTCTATCACTTAGCAGCTTCTATTTTGATTTTGATAATTTTCAGGGACTCTATAAACTGAAGCTTTGAGTACCATATTTGCCTTTTACAAAATTATTTCTAGACCATTTTTCACATCTTAAACATTTCACATTATTGAAAAATAATATATTAGGAAATTTTCATAACCTTTTTTAATTTTTCAGAGAAAAAAATGAAAATATTTTGAGAAAAAATATGGGTTTATGTTTCTAGTTCTTTAGTGAGGCCAGAAGTAATTCTCAATGAGAAGTAAATTTTAAACTGGGCAGCAATTTAGTACCATGTTCACATTATTTCACTTTGCATCTTTTTTTAAAACAGCTTAAGAAAACCATTGAACATTCCATTTTAGAATATTTTTTAATTGACAGTACAAGAAGTCATTTTGAAAAATCAAACTTCCATGAGCATGTTGGCCTGCTTAGCAGATGGTAATTTCATACTTATAATTGTTTTGAGGTTTTGGTATGTTAATTAATGACTAGCATTTATTTCTGGGTTTTGGGGGGAGGGGTATCTTAAATTTGCCAGAATAGATTTGTTAAATTCCTGTACTTCGATTTTTCAGATAACATTTTTTCTGCTGCAAAAATTAACACTGGAGTTAGGTAACCAATATAAATAAATGCAGTACATTTCTACGTATCTACCTCCCTTTAACTATACTGATAGCTCAATTAATTTTCCTAATATGTTTTAAGAATCAATAAAGATCACACAATCCTAGTCCGTAAAAGAAATCTTTCAGGTGTCAAATTGCTTCCTGAATGTAGCACTTTGATTTTCAGAAACAGGAATGATAAAGCTGGACTCCAGAGCATGATTCATTACTGGCTTAATTTAAGCTTCTGGCCATAAGACCTAGTCCCCTTGTAGATCAGGGGTGTGGATTCTGGCTGGCTTATCAGATGCCCCTATGGATTGAAATGACAAAGTGAAGACAATGGTAAAACAGAAAATAATACTGATAGCTATAGACTCTCTGCAAATGTAACAATTGACATTTGGATGTACAAACCCCAGACATATTTGGAATATCTTTTATACGGTGGTGGGATTCAGCCGGTTTGCACAGCTTCGGCAGAACCGGTAGCTAATTTTTTGTTGCCCAGGCCCAGAATAGACTTCCAGAAGCGGCATCCACAGAAAACTGGTTGTTCACATGTTTAAATCCCACCACTGCTTTTATAGTATAGTGTAGTATTGCAGAGCTTTTAATGTCCTTCCCTCAACAATCTAAAGGAAGACAGAAAATTGCCCCAAACAGTGCATTGGACTAATTATTAACAGAATGGTCCATAAGCACTTAGTAAGGGTTATGCTATTTTATTTAATTTTATTTATTTATGCAATAATTGCAGGCCACCCTGGTCACTTAAGACTCTGGATTGTGAATTACAAAGCAAAATATGAATACTACCAAATTAAAACAGTACAATACTGCACATGACGAACATCCACAGCAATCAGTTTGAGCTAAACACGTTGAAACAGTATGACTCTAACTACATTAGGTGTAAAGTGGAAGGGGGCTGTCCAGAGTTGTTTGTGTTGTCCATTGCAAGCATGAACTGAAGTATATGTTCAGTAACTATAATAAAGTTGAACCTGAGTATTTTAACATAGCTGTCAGCCAAGTTCACATACTATTTAAGGTGACTGCTATCTACAGAATTCTTTCTATACTAAATATATTTCTAAAACAGAATGAAGAACCTGTGATCTTCTATGTGTTCATTTATTCAGTTGTAGCATTATAATGCCTAACAAGCTTAACAAGCATGACTAATAGTGAGGGATCTTAAGAGTTGTAGTAGCAATATGTGGAGGCTACTAATTACCCATTTTTGCCCCAAGCAATTGAAATACATCCAAAAAGGATGTACAGTATATTAAGTGTCACTTATTAAATCAGATGCCCTGCAGAGACATTTCTTTGGAAAGATGAGGAAGAAAAGGTACAATACATTCACCAAAATCTTATTAGAAAGGGTCAGATAGTACAAAGTTCGCAAAGCCTTGCAGAACATAAAGTCTACAAACCAGCTGAAAAGAATGGCCCCTTCCTTAGTCAACCTATTACTTCTGAATTTTCTTCTAAACTTCCCTAAAATTAGTCACAGTGGAGATGGCTTAGAAGTTCGGATAAAATCAGGAACGGCACAAGCTTGGAGTGTCTAGTTTTTATAAGCACATAAGCAGATCTAGCAAATACCTTACATGAGGGATGGGATAGATAATGCTTAAAAGTTTTAATTACAGTTTTATTCATATGCAGGATTCACATTTATCAAATAACTTCCTCTATAGGGAAATGGAAAACTTCTAGGCACTATTCCAGCAAGTTTTTTCTTTAAACAAAATTGGAAGCAGCTTCTGTTTGGAGTATAGTCAGATTCAATTAAGAAAATAAAAAGCTTGATTGCTTCCAAGCTTAATTAAGAAAAACACAAGCAGATGGATAAACGTGCAGATTTTACTCTTATGGGGGAAGGCAAAGTGCTGCCGACCAAAACTTATGATAATTCAAAATTACAAAATATATACCTTTGGATTCTAACTTCATTTTTGCTTGCTTGCTTCCTTGAAAACAATTGAAGATATAAAGAATATAATCTACATGGCATTTTTATGAACTGAACATTTATTATGCTAATTTCTCAGAACAGTGAGGCAGTCTATATATTTCAGTCACCCCTTAATGTTTCATCGACTTTTCCAAAGTTTCTTTGTTCCATAAATGGGAATAATTACCTAGTCAAAAGTCTAAAGAGGCAAGTGCAACTTTTTGAAGATGTGGATGGTCTGCAGAGTTCCATTCCTGTTCTTGTTTGGATGATGGCATCAATACCAGCAGTGATATTCATCAGCAATCCATTACACATTCTACATTATTCCAAAAATCTATAATTCCTGAATGTCAAAATACTGTAGTTTTATCATTTTTAAATTAGTTCTGCCTCTCAAAAAATCTTTTCAATGTTTGTGATCTCAGTAGAAAAACATTTATTCTGTATATATAGATCTTAGTATCAAGGAATTAGAGGAACAGAAAAAATAATTTCCAGTCATTATTAGGTCCTTTTTACTTTACTTTCTCTGAAAACAGGCAACCTCTTTGCTATTCCACCTTTCAGTGGCCTCCTCCATGTGAAGTCAGTGCCAACTAACTCAATCTGAAAATAACAAGTGCACAGCTGTCATGCAAGCTGTTATTCAGTTTTATATTAAGCTTTTTAACCAAAGTGGTGTACTCCAACAAAGAATATCCTCCCAAAGAACGTAAGGTTTCCATAGCAAGCAGGGAGTGAATTAGAAGCAGTTGCTCAAATAATTCCAAGCACCCTCAAACACCTACGGAAATCCTTCCTCTTGAGTGGAGGTATCTTTTAACCTCTTTATTGTTCCCCAAAAACAAGCTGTTGTAAGTCTGCCCCTTTTATACAGTATTATAGTTTTGATCCAGAACCATAG